TATTTCCGCCTTTAAAACGTCACTTTTTCGACTGTTTTAGATACAAAAAGTGGTATTTTAAATACGAACAGCCAAAGCGGTGATTTAAGTACTTTAGCCACGTGCTTTAGTCACGGGGTGGAACTTGGAGTAGTGTGCGAACGAATTTCGAAGATTTATAATAAAAAGTTCAAATACGAAAACATAAACGTGGAAATAAAATGGAAGTAGAAGAAATAAGGTAAGCATCACGTGGCTAAACGTTGTTAAACACTCGATTGATTAAACGCTCGCTACGCCCGTGACTAAAACTCCCATTCAACCACTTGATACTTAACATACTTATTATTTTATACACCAATCAAAGTAAAATAAAATATTATTTTATTTTATTTACTTTAAAACTAAAACCACATCCAGTTGCGTTTCGTGTTTACCCCTTTTCGTCACGCCACTTTCTATTTCGTTTTTACATTGGCGTGTCTGTCGCGATAGCGTTAAAATCGCATGCGCAGCGCGCTCGGACGAAAGAAAGTCGTTAAATTTTGCGTCGTTAACGCGCACAAACAAATTTTTCCTTTGTGTGATTGTATATTACTCCGCAGAAAAAAAAACAGAATCTATTCTTGTTTTTGCTTGCTTACTTCTTTAATTCTTTTGGTTTTAGCGCCTTGGAAAGAAATAAAATTCAAATTTAACCAATTGACCACGTCCAATGGCTTGATTGGCGCAATCAAAACACACTAAGCACTTTCACTTCAAGTGTTAACTGGCTGAAACTTTCACAAAAAAAATATCGGTGTTAGATTGACATGAATTGACGTATTGCTTTGGTTTGGTTTGGTTTATGAAATCTTATATGGGAGATAGTAGAGTAGAGTAGTTGATGTGAATTGGAATTAATTAATATCGCACGATTATTCGTGAGTTGTTGTTTAGTTGGTAGTAAAAGTTGATCTGGCGAAATTTATGTAATAAGCAATTTATCACGTCGTAACATAGTAATAGTGCAAATATGGTTAATAGAAGGTAATAGAATGAAAAAACGTGGCTTATTATTGTTGATTTTATCTTGAATTGGAATTTTACTTGTTGTATCTTAATTAAATATTAGATATAAATGCGAATTTGTGTGTTTTTGTTTGTTTGTGACGCTTTCTAGGGAAAACTAATGAAGATATTTTGATAAATTTTGGTATAGAGATACTTCTAATCATGAAAAATAAAATAGGCTACTTTTTGTTGTAAGAATATAACAAGATGGGTGTAAAATAAGGGATGAAAGTTGATATTGAGATTAAATCATAGTTATAGGTCTATTACTCAAATCTAGATGGCGTAGAAGTGCATTATTAGCATTTTTCAATAGAAAATATGGTTTTGTATGTGTGTTCCTTATTAATTCCTAAAGAACTAAACCGATTTAATTGAAATTTTCAGACAATCTTCAAATAAGCCTAGCAAGTAATTTTGTAAAGTTCAACACCGATTATAACTTACAGGGTGTTAAATAAGAGATAAAAATCACTTATAAAATTTATGTGATAGAAATTGTAAACTCACCACCCGAATGAAGCAAACCGAACAATTTTTCGAATTCTTACCTGAAACAGAAAAACAAAACACAAAATTAATCACATAATAAATATTAAAACAGATATAAATAAATTATATAAATAAATCCGTGAGAATATTCCTCGAACACATTTATCAGTCACATTTGCAGTGCAGTGTAGTTAAGTGTAGTTAAGTTTGCAGTTAGATGCTAAGTGAGATTAATGCGTCGCTTGCATGTTTTATTCAGAAAACAAACCGCGTCTATTGTTTTAAGTTTTAAGTGCCTAGCCTCCATATATACTCAGGTATACACTTAAGAGTGTATTTTTTACACTTATATCTACACTGGACAATAATATTACTAGCATAATTTTTTTTCTGTTTAATGTTTTGCTGACGCTGCATTCGTTCCTGTTTGAAATTAATTTCGAATAAATAAAACGATGATGCCATCCTAACAAGGATGACACCAGCAGCAGCAGCAGCAGCAGTGGCAAGCGGAGCAAAACTGTAAACTAAATTGCGCACACACGCTTGCTCGCCGGCCGGTTTGCTATTATCACTTTGAAGTGTGCGGCTGGATACAAATTGCAAACAATTGCAAACAAATTGTGCGGAAATTGCGTGAACAGCAGACGAAAATAGTCACAGTTTTAGGAGTTTTTGGTGATTAACACGACTATTTTCGTGACTTTTTGTTGTTTCGATGCACGGTTGGTGTTTGTGACATTTAAACTGCACATATTTATTTAAATCGAAATGTCAAGTGCTTTGTTACGCTCAAATATTATTTATAGCTAAAAATAAAAAAAAGGTGTTTGTTTAATGAGTATTAAATCATCACGATAATATATTTTGAGATGTTTAATTTAATTTATGCATGATAAATGTTAAATATAATTATCGAGTAAATTATATATTATATCGATTTTTCAGTAATTTTTGACGAATTATTTGGTAATAATAGACTAAAAGTAAGTAAGTAATAAAAATGTGAATTAAGATGATAGATTTTACTAAAGAAAATTAAAATAAGAGTTTTTAAAAATTATACTGCAAAAAAAAAACTTAAAATAGTAAAAATTAAATTTTAAATAAAAAATAAACAAAAAAATACGGCATATTTGTTATAAGCATTTTTAGAAAATTATTCTCAGACTTTCATATGCTAAAATATTAATTTTTGAATAATATTTTAGTAATCATAAATTTAAAACTGTAGAAATCGTAAAAATTTGAAGTCAAATTAAGGAAAACAAAAAATTAGAATCAAAATTGAAATAAGAATTTTTAGAAAATAATTCTCTGACTTTTTAAAGAATTTTTTAACAATTCCTGTGCAGAAACCAATAAAAACATCTAAAAATCATAAAACTCAGAATTCAGATAAAAGCCTATTAAATTTAATGACCGAATATAAAACCCCGATCGAATCATCAATTAAGATAACCTACCTACCATGATAATACCATTAACCAATTAAAAACCAACTCCTATAATAGCCCCATAACTTATCCACAAAATAAATATCTAAAATATCTTTTTATTTTATGTAAACCTCAGAATTAAATAATAGAAGAGCAGATGATTACAATTACAATTTTGATGTTGATTATAAGCTTGACCTTTGGGAAATTAGCGAATAACAAATCTTAACTTAATCTTGAGTGCACTCAACTGCACTTGATAAAATATTTAATGGCAATTTCCGTGACCTAAATTACGCAATTACCTAATTACATGCATCCGAAATTAAATTCCGTACAGTATTTTTTCGAGTGGGTAATTTAAGTTAGTTGGCTAAAGTTAAGCGGTAGAGTTAAGTGTGGAAGCTGACTATAGGCAACTTTATACACAACGACTTGAGGTTTTTCGTTTAGAAAGCGCGAAATATAACGGAATTGAAGAAGTTGAAGAAATCGAAGAAGCAAGGAAGGAGAATAAAATAAGAAAACAGATGTGAAGGTATGCAACCCACGCTACACATAAGTTGACTTAATTTTACATTTTTTTCGATAAATTATCAAATTACTTAGGAAAATACTGCTGTAGAAATACAATTCATTCAAACATTGATTAAAACTGTATTCAGCATTAATCCACGTATTAATTTTGTTGATATCTTTATCCACAAAATAGTTAAAAACAAGTAAAGTTAGATTTTTCAAAAAATAATTCATTATATTGATGTTGTTTAAGTTATAACTTTTTCCGGAACAATTGTATCAACAAAAATTTGATATATTGCAATTTAAAATTTAATATCATATCGATGTATGAAGAAACCGGTAATAAAAGTTTATTGCAGTTCGAGTTTTTAATAAAAACTGCAAATCAAACAAGTCAATATTGACGTCACAACTTCAGTTCGAGAGGAGGTATAGTAAATATCTGATAACTTAAAATTTAAAATCAAATTACTATAACAGACATTTTATTCCGGAAATACATTCTACATTAAATTCCTCATCAATCTACGAAAACATTTCATAAATCAAATTATTTATCAGAAAGGTATTAATATTTAAAGCCAAATTTAATAAATAATCATAAATTGACTAAAAATAACTTGTAACTTTTAATTCCAAATTGTTATTAATAAAAATTTTATATAAATAAGTAAATAATTTAATTCCAAATAAACTTATAAAGAAATGATTGTTCTAAGTCACTTAATTCCCGAGCAATTAACAAAAATCAACACAGTTTTAAACAGTTATAAAATAGAATTCCATAAATATTCATAAATTCATATTAAATCGGTGTGTAACTCGTAGCAGCAAACTGATAACAATACAATTTCAACATTTATAAATGCGGAATTTAATTCCAATCAATTGTATGAAGAAGTTATTGTTATAAGTCACTTAATTATCGAGTTATATCAAATCAAAATTAAATTTGGCGAATATTACTAATTTTAAAATTAAATTAAATCAGTCTATAACTCGTTATAATAAATTGGCAACAACCTAATTTTTACATAAACAAACACAGAATTAAATTCCAAACAGATGTATGAAGAAATCATTGGTATAATTTGTTTAATTACCGAGTTATAATGAATTAAAATTAAATTTTGCAAATATTACTAAAATTAAATTCATAGAAATCAATCCATAACTCATAAAAACAAACTAATAACAATATAATTTTTACATAACAAGTTGTAGAATTTAATTAGAAATATATTAACGAACAAATCAATAATATAAACCAATAAACTCCCGAATAATCAACAAAAACTAAATTAAAACAAAAACTCAACATCTTCCTCCTCATCTTAACGTAGACAACTCACATTACATCACACAGCTCTCCACTTAAAACATCGACCATCTGTTTAAAGTTTAAAATATAATTATCCTCATCTAGCCAACACAGATTATTCACCAACAGAAAAGATAAGCTCTCCTCAATAATCTCTACTCGTATATAACCATGCATGAATAATTTTTCGTTACCTTCCACCTTCCTCCGTGGACGCGTTAGCGGATCGGGTCCTACGGCTAAATATACTCCTAAGCGCCGGTTTCGCCAGCGTTGCGAAGAATCGATACGCTTTTCTTTTTCAAATATGGTGCTTGTGCGTATGGTGTGCCAACACCAAACACATGTTCATGTTTTTCTGCATCCAACTTGTGCAATATCCCCGCAACAACAACAACAACAACAAAACTATTACACGTAGGCGTAATCACACAACGACGTAGAAAAAAAATACCGGTTATTCCATTCAACGTCCATTCATCCAAATCAATGAATGAGAAAGAGAATCAAAGAATCAAAGAAACACCTCAGAAGAAAAAAATAAAGAAAAAATTCAGGACGCGTAGGTTTCACACAATTTCATGGCACTTTATATCACATCACAAATTTATTCCAAATACAATTCAATTTATTTCATATTGCAGCATCGGTTGATTGTTTTACAAAGGTGTAGTACACAATGCGATTAGTACTCCGGATGCACGGCACGTACACTACACTTTCATCCGCACGCGCGTTTGTTTAGTCAAATTAGTCGATTAGTAATTTCCACAGCGCCCACACGACATGATTTTTAAATTTCGACTCGTGCTGCATCTGTAACTTTCTTTTCGTTATCGCTTACTACTCACTGCTTATCACACACAATAATAACAAGGCACAAGGCACGATTCAACTGATTTTTCCCACTCGTTAACCACCCACACAAGTATTAATATTATGCTTGTATTGATTAGAATAGAAATTTCTTAATTTTAGGGACGATTTGCGGACGTTTCGAGAATATTATGTGGAATTGTGTAATTCGCAGCCGGTTTTTGGGCGTCGTGCGCGTCGCGGCACAACGTTCGCGATTGAATTCGGCGCTGTGCGGCGCGCAAGCGTCGGCGGCGTCCACCATCATTTACCTCTCTTCCCCAAGTCGGGGTGAGTGTATGTGTGTGTGTGGCGCCGGCGTCCCTATATTCCTGTACACGCGCGCTCCCCCTTTGCTGCTGCGTGCTTGGCGCTGCGCGAGCAAAAGTCTAGCTGGCAACGGCTAGAGGGTAGCCACCCCTCGGCGCCCACACAAACACACTTAAAAACAACCCTTATACTACGAGTTACTACTACAACTACTACTATGATGAGTGTGTGGGAGTGAGAATGAAGGAGGAAGAATAGTCGATGCCAGCGACACCAGGAAAAGTTATTGTATTATTTTATACAGGGATGTATTTATATTTACTGCCTAGGAAGTAAAGAAAATATTGTGTAAAATGAAATTTCAACGTGAAATATGAAAATGTGTATCAAATTTTAATTTTTGAATAATAATAATAAATTTTATTTTTTTATTTTAATGTCTAGGCAGTAAATATTTACTTTAGTGTTTAGGCAGTGAAATAATTTTTCAATGCAGATTTTTTACTTTTCGTTAGTTTTCTAATGAATTATGTACTTAATTTTTAAACTAGACTGAAATATTTTACTTTAGTGACTAGGCAGTAAAGAAAAAATGGAAAACAATTAATTTTCAACGTAAAATGGTAAAATTTGTATAAAATTTTACTGTTTTAGTGATAACAGACAATGTTTTGCATTTATTTATTTCAATGCCTAGGCAGTAAATATTTACTTTAGTGCCTACGCAGTAAAATGATTTTTTCAATATAATTTTCCTACTTTTCAATGAATTTCCAACAAATTTTGAAATTTATAGCCTAGAACGCAATTTTTACTTTAATGTCGAGGCAGTAAAATCCTACTTTAATGCCTTTTACTCAATAAACATTCTGATTATACTCTGTATACTTTAATTTTTAAATTTTTCATGTCATCGGACACATATCACTCTTTTATTTCCATCTTTTCTTATTTTCTTAACTTTCCGAAAGAAATAAAATATCACCCAGAATGAAAGATTACCATACGCCGTGAATATGCCCGATCCATCCAATCTATCAAGAAATGTTTTCGGGAAACGTCGAGCGAATAAGGAACAAATCAAACAAGACAACAACGAGAAATGGCCAAAGACTAAATTCTGCGCGGATACTGAACTTGCATGACTTGATGGAAACGCATTTAATTCCGTGTTTTTGTTCGATATTTTTTATTGCTATTACTATATTATTGGCAGACAAACAAAGAGTTTGCTTCGGGATTCGTTCATTCGCGCATGAATAGAGAAAACTTTAGTAAAATAAAATAAAATGAAGTAACAGGAAGAAAAGTTGTGCTGTGAAAAGTCACGATGTGAAGATATAAACTTTAGTGATGTACGTCGTGTTGGAGTAAAAAGATTATTTTAGTTTTTAATTAATTAATCGAAGAGTTTTTGAGATAAAAGTGTAATTCTTTTAAAAATTGATTAAGGATTAAATTCTGTATTAATTTTAAAAAGAAAATGAATATTAAACTATTAGATAAAAAGTTATTAACAATTAAAGTTACTTTTTTTATTAAATTTAATAATTTTTTTTAATTGTTTATAACTTTTGATTGAAAAGTGATATCACCAAAATTTTAAAATAGATATATCCAGAATTTATTACCAAACTTATTCCTGAAGAAATAATAACAATAAATTAATTAGTTTTCGAGTAATCAATAAATAACTATAAAAAATCACATAAAATTTCACCACCTAAAAGTTTACTTTAATATTCTTTTAGAAATCATCTTTAAAAAATAATTCTTTAAACTTTTATAAACCCAAAACTTGCTTCTGTAATTAAATCTTAAAAAACTGCCAAATTTAAATTTAAATTCAAATTCGTCATTCATTCCAAGAATCCACTGTTTATTTTCCTCATCCTTTGTGTGTAAAAAATAACATACAAAATATCAAATCGTGCATCTTCATGCCTTTCTCCTTCAATTTCTCAAAAATCGTGTATTTTCGTATCTGGAAACTTGGAACTTATTCCTATGTATGCGCGCCAATATGTACACGCGTCGTATGTGTGACAAAATTGTTTTTAGATCCGCAGAGGCCCAGCCCAGCGAGCAAGAAAAGCTCAAAGCATCGAGGAGAATGTCGCCGCTACAGTTTCTAGCGACTTTAGAACTTGTACGAGTACACACGCCGCCGCCACAGGCCGCCGAATCGGAACATGTGCGATGCGCCGCTCAACACTCAGCGCTCATCAACACTTTCAAACAAATTCGAAGAAATAAACCACGAAAATATACGCGACGCAGTCGAACACACCACACATTAATTACAACCAGAGCGAAGCAATAAAGTGACATTCAATATAATATTATACAGTGTGTATAATATTTATACTTTTTTAATGCAAAAGTTAGTTACATCACTTATAACTCAAGAACTACTGGACGGATTTTGATGATTTATGATTTTTGGATTATTCTTGAACCCGAATAAGAGAATAGTATTAAAATATCAAAAATTATGATTTACAGGGTGTTAAATAAGGGATGAAAGTTGATATAGAGATTCAATCATAGTTATAGCTAAATAATTGACTCCTAGATGGCGCTAAAGTGCATTTTTAACATTTTTCATTCATTTTAAAATAAAATTTCAAATCTTATTGATGAAATCAACACATACTAAGGTCTTAAACAAGAAAATAAAAATTTATTTCATTTTTACTAAAAACTCAAAATCGCGGGCAAAAAAATGTTTTTTTCTTATTAATTTAATTTATACACTCGGTAGGATTAATACAAGATTAAATCTTCGCGTGGCAGGCAGCAATCAAGTAAAAGACTCGCACAAGCAGCTATGCAGGCAAAGTGGTCTCAGCGTGGGCCATCATGGCGTCACTTCATCCACTCCATGCTATTCATACGCATACGTACGAGCATATACAAAATGAATGCTGGAGCTGGCGGAGAAGGCGACAAGAGACACTGTACTGCTGAGATTATGCTACAAGTCGACAAGTGCATGTTGCAGCATACAACTAATCGCATTAAAACTTGAGGAGGCAAGCGGAGACAAAGATTACAACAAGAAACAAGAAACAGATGAATATGAATGTGAATGAGAATGAAAAATTAATATATTAGTAGGGTCAATCCCAACTAATATTATAAATGCGAATGTCCTGATGTTTGTTACACTTTCACGCAAAAACTACTTAACCGATCATCATGAAAATTTGTACACATATTCTTAGTGGTCCCCGAATGGTTATAGGCTACTTTTTATTTAATAAAAAAAATATTTTTTAAATAAAATAAAGAAATAGTTTAGCCAATAATACCTCTGCATCTGGCTATTTGATTACTTTAACGCCATCTAGGATTCTAGCAATGAAGCTCAAACATAAGTACTATAGTACCATCACACTGTATTATCACACTGTATTACCGACAGCTACGTCAACATCAAATCCAATTGACTACACTATGGAGACTGTACACTATACTTCCATAGACTATACTTTCAGCCATTTTAAACTTCCCGCCATTCTACTTCATTGTTACTTCTTCTGTGACTACAGACGCGTACGAAAGCAACTTCATTATTTTAGATATTCGCGAGCGAAGCCGCGGGTTATAGCTAGTCTATGATAAAAGAGAAAAAAGAAAGAAAAAGTTGAAAAATTTAGTAAAAAGATGAATATTTAGGAAAATAACAAAAATTCAAGGATTTAGAAGAGTAGAAGGCATAGAGGATACGAATAGGGGTGGGAAAAACCCTGTACAACCCATATACTTCTCCCAGATCGAACAAAAACCCTAAAAATGCGTAGAAATGAACTTAAAGACCAGAAACTATTGAGCTTGACCACTCAAACATGTCTTAACACTTTGGTCAAAGGGGTACTATCCTCTTATACCTGAGTACTACCCGCAAAAAAGGGTAGGGGTCTCAAATGCAGGCAACTGACCTTAATCAAATCGCACACCTGTTATGACTCATACCACTCAGTCACTACTAGCCTCTCTCTCTCTCGCCATAGCCATACCAAACAAGAAGTACTATAGTTACCCCCACCACTTTTTGGGGGTAGTCAGCAGATATGCAGCACTAGCGGGCAATGCCCTACGCATTCCTCTTCTCCTCTTTTGCATTTCTAACCTTGATTTGATTAAAAATGCCAAAAACATCATATTTCTTAATAAATATAATACGATTAGAAGACCATAAATGAGCAATTGTTGTCATGTGCGACTGCACGCGACAAACTGGACGCCTTGCCTTGCCGCTTCACGTTTATTTCATTTACGAGTACGAGTATTTCGCAACACGCACGCAATTCAATGCTCACGCGCTAGATATCCAGATACCCACACACTACATCCACTCACACTTCAACCCAATCCAAGAAGACTTCCTTCACCTATTCCTACCTACCTACCAACACACAAAACAAAAACCAGCGTTGGTTTTATTTTTAATTTCAACTTTTTGTGTTTTGTTCTTAGTTCCGTTCATAATTAATTAGTAATCGCTGTTTGGTTACTAGGTCGTTTCGTTGCTAACGCTACTAATGCCTTTTGATGCTCGACCGATTCAGGCAGACACCATCAAACGCATGTGTGAGTTGTGTTCTTTTCTATTACGAGTATGATTGGTAAACCACATGTTCATCGTTCCAAGTGTTGGAAGCGCTGGAAGAAGCCCCAAATTGAAAAACCGAAAAAACCGTTGCGTGGCCGTTGCTCAACGCATTAGTGGCGCCTAAATGCCCGATATCTTTCAACGCGAGGTGTACGCCACGCATTTTAATGATTGGTCAATTTAAATAAACATTTGAGGCGTGCGTGCGTGTGTTAAATGCTAGTCGCTTTTGGGAGTCGTATAACTTGGGTAATTACTAAGGCAGGAGGTT